TTTTGATTCCTCTTTTGCCTCGAGAGTCCTCCAGCTTCTCTCTTCTCTGTTTTTTTGGAGGGTGTTTGGGAGTCGGGGGGGTCCTTTAGTTCATTTCTTTCTGTGTCATTTTCTCACGTGTTTCTCTTCATTGAAATTCAATCACATCTCGTGTCGCTGAGACTTAATCCTGTCAGAGCTTCACCCCGGACGGACCTCTCACTCTGCTCCCTTTCTTTCATTCACTCCTGTTTTTACTTGTATTTTCTTCTGTCTTTTTTGTTCTCCTGCCTCATCTGTGTTCATACAGAACCTTCCCATACAAAATACAACACAAAATACAACGTACGTGTTGTTTTCTTTCTGAATCAACACAAATTCATAATAAAAAACACACTTTACATAAAACACATCATACGATAAAAATGAAAAATAAATAAAAAAAAACAAAACATTACTGTGATTATCGAGAGAATTTAATTTCTTAAAGACGTCAAGGATTACCATTTAGCGACATGCAGATATACAGACAAAATACCAGTTACAGCCAGGTTACAGCAGCCGTGTTAGTTGTTATTTTACAAAGCAAGCCTTTGTAAAACATGTTTTTTTTTAAAGAAAGAAAAGAGAAAAGTATTTTAATAATTACTGAAGTGTGCTGAAATAAAATAATCATAGTGGTCACTTTCACAGCTGTTTCCTCCCGTTAGAAGTAGATATACTTCTTTATACTGCGTACTGTGATGATCCCCTCACTGGGCATGGTAAGTGTTTTCATTGTACCTCTTTTTAGGTGTGTTTTGTGTGCTGCATTAGTGCATTAGCAACAGCCAGCTGGGAAGTGGTCCAGGGTGAGCTGTAGAAGCTCCAGGTGTATAGCTTTAGAGGTCACTGGTCAACCCAGGTCCTCTCCACCTCTCTGCATTTCATGACTGCTGTTTAACAGGTTGATTAAAGCTAAAAAAAAAAAACCCCTCCATATTCACACCGATGACCTTCATCCTTCAGCCTCACTCAGAAACAACATCATGCAAATCTAAACTGTGCCACCCACGTGTCCATCAGCTCTCAGCCAAAAGGATGTCAGCCGTAAAGTGTTTCCATACACTTTAACTGCAGCTCGACAAGCTGTTTGATCACTTTGAAGTGATGGAGGCTGTAAAATAAAAAACCTATCTCCACCTTGTTCTTCTTCTGCAGTCTGTTGGGGTTTAAGCTGCTCCTCCTCCTCACTGCAGGAACGCTCTGTGTGTGGTTCAGACAAGGCAGCACAGCATCTGCATCAAAAAGACCATTTTAGAAATGACTCTGGGTTAAAAACTAGAAAATGGTACATTTATTTGGTCAAGCTGCCTCCAGGGACAATAGTGAGCTTTTACACTCTGATCCCCCTCAGTTTCCTCTTCTCATATGTATTTATTGAGCTGCAGATACCTTAGATGTTAGTTTTTTCTATCAAATTATCCAACCAAATGTCCCAGACCCTGCAGTTCCTCTAATATGCACATGACGCTGGATCCAAAATTGTATTAACAGAAATTTACAGCCATGTTTACATCCTGCTATGAAAAACAGATTCACCACTGTGTTGTCAAAAAGTCTTCACCCAGCGAGAACGAGCAGGATTATCCTCCTTTCTGAAACTTCGAATGACTAAAACGTGGAAAATGGACTTCATGTTTTATTCAGTGACTGAGCCCAAAAACTCATCAGGAAAGTTTTACTGAGGTCAGCGCCGAGGACTGTTTTCTCCACAGACTTCTATAGGACCAAAGTCTTTCTACAGAACAGAATTAAGACACTTAGTTTCCCTTTTTAGACTTGGAAACTATATCCGTCTTTGGTCTCAGCATTACGGAGAAGGTACCAATCACAAAGAGATAACAGTCCTGTTTTAGAAACCTACAAAGAGTGTACTCAGAGGTAGGAGGTTTAGAAACTGTGTTCAGTTTGGATCTTTGTGTTTGTTTTGCTTGAACCTACTAAAAACATCTTAGTTATGTTTACAAAAAGATGGTGTTTGGGGTTAAAACATGCCCCATCTCTGGCTTTATTAGATTATTGTTATCATTTGAGTTTAGTCAAAGTGTTTTTTATGTTTAACAAATAAATCTTAATCTGATTTGCGATTAAACAGACCAAAATATGAATCAGAAGTAAAAACTATAAAGGTGAGAGTTTCCTGTCTGCAGGGAAGAACTGGTGTCTGGGTGGTGTTTAGCACCCTGGAGGAAATTATAAAGTCCATGTCAGGTCAGTGACACAGACCTCTGATTTTATTTGAAGAGTTTTAATGATTTGATTTAAGAATTTCTTCTTTCTGTTTTTCACAATCATCTGTTTGTATCTCTTATTAATCGGACTTTCTTTCTTCCTTTCCTTCCTTGTTGTTCTTTTCCTCTGGATCGTTTTCTTTCCTGTTTTCTGTCTTTGTTTTCTTCTTTAACTCTTTTTTTCTTTCTTCTGTTAATCTAAAGTCAAACTCTTCACTGAGGAGTTAACCTTTCTTTCTTTTGCACACCATTTTCTTCTTCTTCTTCTTAAACAGGTGCTTTTATTTCATTCAAACCCACACTTTCTTCTTTATTTTTAAGTTCAATTATTTACTTTTTCCCGTCACTATTTCTTAATCCTTCTTAACTCCACTTTTTCCTTTTTCCGTCCTCAGACCTTTTCTTTCAGCACTGAAGGTTCAACCTTCTTTCCTTTCTTTTCTTCCTACTTTGCAGAATTTTAAATTTCATTAAAATCATGCACCAAACTAAGCAACATGACAAATTCTGCAGAGAAAGGGATTTGTTGTACACTTACACTCCTTTTTCTTACTATTTCTTTTTGACCTGACAATATTTCATGTTCTCTCTTTTTCTCTTTTTTTCTTTCCTTCATAAAAAAACTTCCCTGACATAAAACTAACCTCTGGAAGATTTATTTCTCTGTTGCACTCAATTGTTTGTTTCTGAATTTCATCTCTTATTCGTCTTCATGGGTTTCTACTCATCTTACCTTTCTTTATTTCCTCTCTACTTTCCACTCCCTTTCTTTCCTTCTTTAACTCTTTCTTTCTGCATTCAACAAAATCTTCCCCCAGGGTTCATCTTTCTTTCCTTTGAAGGCTCCTTTATTTTCTTTCTCCTTAAAGAGTTTCCAACCTTAAAGCAAACATGAAGTCTATAAAATTCTGCAGACATGTCCCCTCAGAAACATTTGTTTTTAAACTTCAGTAAAATGCAGAAAACTGGATTTCTTCTTGTATTAAGCGTGCTTTATCCTCTTTGGGTGAAATAGGATTTGCTGGCTCGTTGTTGGGGCCTCACGGAGGCTTGTGCCGGCCCTGTAGCCGGGGCAGAGATGATTTGTGTGCAGCCTGGGTTTGGTTTTGTTCCTGCTGGGGCCCATTTGAATAAGAATGATGCCAATAGAGTGGCTGAGGCAGAAAGAAAGCAGCACAAAAGGCGAGAGGAGCTGAATTTGGACCAGGGACAAACCAGGAGAGGAGTGAAAAGAAGTGCAGGGCGGACAGCCACAATGGAACAATTCACCTTATAATCGCTTTGATATATTATACATGCCTGAAGACTCTAAACATTGTGTAATTATTTATAAATGAGTGTCCCCCCCCCTCCTCATGCAGAAGAAAGCAGCAGAAAGACTCTGCAGGTCTCTGCTTCTCCTCCGCTGGATTGCATACTGAATAAATGGAATAATTAATGGAAAATTGTATGCCTGTCTCATAAAGATGTCTTTAAAAAACACTTAAAGAAAATTGGTCTGTATGCGCTCACGCTGGATGGGTTTACTGCTGCCTGAAGGGATGAAAAGACGGACAAAAAAGCCAGACTTCATAAGGTGAAACAGTTCAGCCGAAGCCTGACGTGTCAGATAAAAATGACCCAAAGATCGAGGTCATTTTTAACGCTTGTGTTCAGATGCTGGGGTTGTGGTTTACATTCTATTTATCTCTTACAGAAGCGTTCTAGCAGCTCTCTTAGTGATGTCTGCCGGTGAACTCTGGAGCACCTCAGGGCGCTGTTGTAGCTCCCTGTTTATTTTACATGCTGCCATTCAGAGTTTTAGAAACACTGAGGTCAGAAGTGCAAATGTTCCCCTAGCAGAGCCCCCCATCAACCAAACTCTCTATATTTTTTAAAGTGTTTAAGAAGAGAGATGATTTGATTGCATTTTGTGGAGTGTGATGCTGTCTTTGTGTCATGCTCTGAGGCCATGTTTGTAATTCTGGTGGAGACTGTAATTATTTTTGTTCACATACTTTTAGGTTTTTGGACACAAGGGTATATAATGATCTCTGGTGAAATTAAACAAACTTGAGATACACTTTTTGGTTTTATCCAAACTGACATTTATGCAGAAATCAGGTTTGATTTTTCACATTTTCCCAGTAAAGATAAAAAATACATTCTGTGACGGGAAAGAAACTTTAGTTGTTAATCTTATGTTTAAAAGCTGTTGGTGGTCCGACTTTTATTGTGAAAGGCTTCATAGTTGCACGTCTGTCGGATTTAAAGGTGAACAGTAGTTTTTGTATGGCTACTGAGGTGCACAGAATGAACAGGTGCAAGTTAAACTTTGAGACGTGTTTCCTTCACGTTAAGGAAAAAAGCCGAGCACTGACGAAGACTTCCGGGTAGAAAGAACTAGTTTTCTTTGTTAGGATGAAGCTCCTTTCTCCTCCTGCTGCTGCTCCTCTTTCTGTGTTTGTGGAACAGTAAGCAGAGGATGGATGGATGGATTCTCCGAAGCGTGTCTCAGCCCGGCGGGGAGGAGGAGGTGGAGGTCTCTCTGCCTCTGCTTTCTTCTTCCACCTTTTTTCATGTTTTTGGTTTAAACTCTCGTAGTGGGTTTGGTCCTTTCTGTCTCGCGGGGGGGCAATGCGTGTAGTTCGCGTGGCCGGCCGCGCGCTCTGATTGGCTGGCCGTGATTACCGGCACGCTTCTCTGTGCTGGGCGGACAAACACCGCGGGCGTCATTATGTTAATGAGCTTCTCCCGCGGCACGGGGCAGACCTGCCGCAGCATTCATCCCCTCATCCTGCGCGCTGATGCCAGCTCGGGGGGGTCACAGGGGGGGCGCGGGGGCAGGGGGCCGGTCATTGTCCTCCGCGCGCTATATAAGCGGGCTGAGGCCGGTCGTGTGCCAGGCTCACCGGCTCGCACGAGCTGATCCAGAGCAGAAAACACGCAGAGACACGCGCGCCTCTCCGAACTGACACAAACTTCAGGTGAATTCCTCTCGCGTGGATCCCTCACGCTTCCTCTCCTCGCAGTCATGGACTCGCTCTACTCCGACATCGACAGCAACAGCTGCGACTTCTTCCCGCACAGCGAAGACGAGGAGTCCCGCAGCCCGCGCTGCGCGTCCCCGCAGCCCGAGCAGCAGAAGAAGCAGCGGCGTCGCGGCCGCGCGCGCAGCGACGCCACGGTGCAGGTGGTGAAGAAGAACCGGCGCCTGAAAGCCAACGACCGCGAGCGTAATCGCATGCACAACTTGAACGACGCGCTGGACGCGCTGCGCGGCGTGCTGCCCGCATTCCCGGACGAGACGAAGCTGACAAAAATCGAGACTCTGCGGTTCGCGCACAACTACATCTGGGCGCTGTCCGAGACCATCCGCATCGCGGACCTGCAGGCGGGCAAGGCTGGAGAGCCGCCTGTGCTGCTCAGCCCGTGCCTAGCCGAGGCCCCGAGCCCGGGCAGCGATGCCTGCTCCTGGAGCTCCAGTGGCTCCTCGTCCTCGTCCTCCCCGGCCTACTGCGCCTCCAGCCCGGGCAGCCCCGCCGCGCCCGAGGACTACAGCTACCTGCGGCAGGACGCGCTGTACGGCTTCCGCAGCTTCGTGCCGGGCATCTACTGATCCATGAGCCCGGAGGTCCCGCTGGAATAAGACTGAGAGCCGCTATTTGCCTTACTCACACCTCATCACCATCGTCGTCGTGCCTCTACGGATGGACTGGAAATGAAAGGAACTGAATTTGATCTGTTTTTTTATTATTAGTTTTGGGTTTTGTAAATTTCTCCAAAAACCTTTGCACTTTCCCCTCTCCCCCCTCTCTCCCCCAGAGTCTGCAGGTTACCTCAGTCTCAGTTTTTCTGTTTTCGTGTCCGAGGTGAAAAGTCAATTTTACAATTAGTAGAGTGATTCTGCAGAAAAGAGAGCGTGGAAATCGAGTTTCAACGCTCCCACAATAGACTGAAAGGAGCTGCCCGCATTCATTATGTATTCCACACACACACACACACCTCTCTCTGCTGTGTTTTTATTTATTCGACTCGTTTCGTTTTGTCACGTGAAATTTGTATTTTGTACATAAAGAGATTTTATTCTATTTACTTGGAGCTTTGGTGCCACTTTTCTACTAAATAATAAAGTTATAACGTTTCTATAAAACTCGCCTCTGCCTGCTTCTCCTTGATCCCGAGCCTCAGTCTGCGCAGATATGCTGCAGTAATCTGAGTTTAATCCGGGTTTAACCGCCGTGCACGGGCGCAGACAATGGCTTCAGGGATCGTGCGTGAGTTTTTTTTTTATTATAATGATAATTAATATTAATAAGATAACGGTTTGCTGAGAGCAGCAGGTGGAAGCACGTCACGCGACACGGAGATCGTTTAAAGTTTGACTGTGATGTTAATGAGGCACAAATAAAAAGCGGTGGAAGATCATAAACAAGCAAACTGCAACTAAAGGATTTAATGTGATTTAATGAGCTTTACAGATGCACCAGCCTGTTGTTCTGCGCATGTGTACAGGCGATTAGAGAGCAATTTCAAAATAAAACAATAAAATGAGACCTGGAAACGCTTCAGAATAAGAGTGTTTGTGAAATACAAAATTAAAATATAATGAAAGATATTATGGCAGAGGAGGGAGGTGTTTAATCTTCTTCCTCCTCTGGGAGTCACAGCAGTCTTGTTGTCTCTGCACGTTTTGAGGATCTACAGACAATCAGGGAACACCCGAGGGAGGACACAGTGCTACCAACTGCTGGAGGAGGAGAAAAGAGGAAGGAGATTGGAGTATAGAGTGACAATAATCCTCCAGCAGGAGTAATCTGACCGAGAGTCATACTGCAGGAGTCTTCTTCGTTGTTTCCTTCTTCTGTTACTTCTTCTTCTCATTCTTTGTCTTCATCCTCTTACTTCTCCTCCTCTGTCACCTTCTCCTCCTTTTCTCCCTTCTCTCCCCTCTCATCTTTTACATTTCCCCCTTTTTTATTCACATCCTGCTCCTTCTCCTCTTCCTTCCATGTCTTTTTCACCTCCTCATTCTCCTCCTTCTTCCTCATCCATCCACCCCTTCATCATTTGTCCTCCTTCTTTTCCTCTTCCTCGTCAATTCATCCTTCTCCTTTTCCACCTCACTCTTTCTTCTCCTCTTCCCCTTGCACTGTCCCCTCCTCCTCATTTTTCCTTCAAATTAGCATCTTCCTCCTGACTCTTTCTCCTCTTTTATGGTTCTTCCACCTCTCCTCATTTTCCTTTGAATTCTCCTCTTTGTTTTTCACTGCTTGTTTTCCTTTCTTTTTCTCCTCCTACTGCTTCCTTTTCCTCTCCCCATCTTCCTCACACTTATCGTCCTTTATTTTCCTATCATCATTCTCCTCTTTCGCCTTTTCCTCTCCATTCTCCTTCTTTTACTCCTGCTCCTTTACTTTTCTTTCTTTACCTCCTCTGGCCTAATTTTTCTTCTTCTTCTCCTCACCCTCTCTCACCAACTCCTTGATTTCCTTTTCTTCCTCCCCCTCCTCCTTTCTCTGTACCAGCAGTTGTGTTAAATATTTTGTGGATTTGTTATAAATTTTATTTATGTATTTGTCACCGTAAACCTTGTGCCAAAGTTTTTCTCTCATGAGATTAGATTAAGTTACAGGCTGACTTTCATCTGCAGGTAAACACACTGTGATTCACATCCACAGACACAGAGATATCACAAAGCCTTTCAGTGCATACAGAGACAATTCTCAGTATCAATAATTTAATGATATAAAAACACATCTGATAAAAAAAGATAGAAAAAGCAGAAAAGACCGGAAAGATTAAAGTTTATCCTGTTTCCGAGAGTTTCTGATCACAGACATCTCAGGACCCCCATTATTTCCTCCCGGGAACGCGATGATTGCGCGCCCCCGATGCCGACCCGCTGCATTGTTGGTGTGCGCGGGGCCGTGCGCTAATTGAGCGGGATTAACCGCCGGCGGCCCGCGTGCACCTGCAGCCCCGTAATGAGGTCCAGTAAGTTTTAATTAGATTTCTATTGTGGCCGCTGAGGATGAAGCCAAATCTGTCAACTGCCTCAGCGGCCGAGCAGGAAGCTCATTGGCTGGAAAACACACGCGCCCTGCACGCACACCAGCCCCGGACCCAGCAGGATTTTTATTATTAAAGGGAGGAACTTAAACACACACACACGCGCGCGCGCAGATGACAGACTGACCTCCCTTTTGAAGGTTCTCATCTTGCTTCAGTTTAGGGGACGCCTGTAAATACTCCAATACCCATGATCCTCAGCAGCTGTCAGGTGTACCCAGCAATTTAAGCAAGCAAGCAGGGGAGAACCACAGACTGTATATAAAAGATGGATGTAGCCACTGTGAAGTCATCCATTGGTTTCTTGAAGCCTCAATATTAGTGGGATAAAAAATATTACATCTCACTAAAACAGGCTATGCCCCTAATAATGCAAACCTTAAGCTTTAATGCAATTTAAACAGTTGAAATATTTTTTCCCTCCTTACAGAAGTTATGAAGGCTTAAATTATCTATAAGAGACCAAACAGTTTGTGTATCAAATTTAAATATATTTATTTCTGCTATAAAGTTTCTACATGGGAGTCTATGGAGACTGACTCACTGCTGGAGCCTCTGGTGGACATCAGAGGAACTGCAGCTTCACAGCTTTCAGGTTGGCTTCACCTGGTTGAAGCTTGTGTGTATCTGAAATATGCTTTAACAAACAACTTAAATAACAAATTCTGATCACCCAGACATATGCAGACCTGGTTATATTTGAGAGACATAAGCTTTAAAAAGCTCACCCCCACATAAAAAAAAATAAACGGTTTAAAAGAAAATCCAAAACTTTTAATTTCTTGGGTCTTGAGTTGTTTCAGGGCTGCTGTGATGTGACATCATTTTATGATCAGTAAAAAAATATACAATATAAAACTCTAAAAGTACATACTGGGTTTCACTCTTCATTCTCTGTTCATGTGCTTTTTCAAAAACGTTGTGTTTTACTTACAATCCATGGGATCGCGATGTCCCACACACCAAACATTTCTAAACTTCAAGAAGAATCACTTAGACTTCAGTGGGCACATGAAGCCTGGGATCAGGACTTTTCACACAGACTCCAAAGTTATACAGAGGACAGGAGGTGAGGTGGTGTGATGCCTCACAGCAGAAAGGTCCTGACTTAGAATCCACAGGCGGGCTTTCAGTGTGGAGTTTGAATATTCTTTCCAACTTCCTCCCAAAGTCCAATGACATGGAAATCAGTCTAACTGGTGACTCTAAACTGGCCGCAGCTGTGAACGTCTGTTTTTGGGAACTGAGGCAAAGTTTGGCTACTGACATCAGGCTTGATAAGCTGATAGGCCCGATTTGGGGTAGAGGGACATCAGGCCTTCAGTCGAATGGGGGGGGGGATCCCGGAGGAGGACAGCAGGAAACAGGAGCTGAGCTTCTAAAGCATTCTTCCTTTCTTTTTAACTCAACGCTTCCCTCCCTTAAGAGGATTTAGCTGAAAGTCACACCCAGCGGAGGCAAATCTTAGTTTCTGTGAACTCAGCAGTTTTTTGTTACTTTATGTTTCAGTTTTTGAAAGATGGTTTAGCAAAATAAAACAGAAGATCAAAACCCTGCAGGCCTCATTATTAGTAACTACACTGAAATGCGGTGCTCAGGAGCCCATTCACTGTTACTGAAGCACACCGTGGGCCCAGAGTGGACTGGGTTTGCTGGATTGTTTTGAAATGTATCTCAAAAACAAGAAAAAATATTAAGATATTAAGACAAGATTCGTTTTCTGTCTATTAACTACTAACACCACTGATGAGATTTGTATTTAATACAACAACCTGCAAGTTCTGCAAGTTTATTCAGTTGGTTATTTACCTGGAGTTACTACTTGTCCAAAACTACACTAGTGAAACACTTTTATTTTGAAAGGCAGGGAAGGAAGATGCCTTTTTCCCACATGTGTTGCACAGTCTGTCCATGGAAGGTCTTTGTGACATTTTGTGAGACTGTAGCTCTGCAAGGATACGCCAAAATTAAGCCAATAGAGACGCACCAAAAGTTGCATTTCTGCTAACATCCACTAGAGGCGCTAGGAGTGAGTCAGGCCCCATAGACCCCAAGAAATAAACATGTTTATAAACAGCCTGATACGAAACAATTTCATCCAAGTATGGTCACTTCTGGTGCTGATGTTGATGTTTAATAAAAAAAGGGTGACATCACAGTGGATGTGTTGATCTTTTTGTACTGTCTGTAATTTATACTGGACTTCAGGGTTCTACTTCCTGTCGGTACTGTCTCAGGTTGTGGTTTCAGCTTTATGGCTTTATCACCTCATTTAATATTGATCAGGAAAAGATGAAGGAGACAGAAGGCTGCCGCCCACCAGCAATCCTTGCACTGTGTGTGTGTGTGTGTGTGTGTTAAAGCAAGGAGGAGAGACAACTTTATTGATTAGAGCACATGATGAATACAGTGATGCACTCAGAGCTCGGGGCTCAGCTGGGCTGGCCTGCAGGGCGCTGGCCCCCCTGCCCCCTTCCTCTCCATCTTTAACTGGTTGCTCTGCAAGTTGAAATTGTGACGGTGGAGGTGCAGGAGTCAAACTACATTGAACACACATGGGACGGTGAAATCTCCCTTTACAAAAGACAAACATAACTTTGGCTTTCCTGTAAATCTCTCAGTGGAGCGTGGACTTGAGATAAAACCATAATCTCTGAATAAAGTTGTGTTTAGTTTTAAAAACTATTGTTTGATTCTGGCTTATTTTTAAAATACATGGAATGAAAATTCTATTGATGCTGATCATTGGGTCGTTGTAGAGAGATTGTATGAAAGAGAAGCATCCACTGCTGGGAGCCTGGTGGTCCCTCGTGTGGACTCGTACCATAACTTCCAGTTCACTCTGACCTGCATTAAGAAGTGAAACTGTGGATTTGACAGAAGCCTCTTTGATTTGTGCAGGTTTGGTGCAGGACTGTTCTGATCGCCTTGTTGTCACCCCGAGGCGACAGCAGACACACAGCACTGATCCCAGGTCAGCCTATGCAGCCACCTCAAGGTCACAGTGTCACCTTTAGACAGTGACCTTCGACCTCTGGCTTTCAGCAATCTGCCCGTCAAATGTAAGAGTGCAGAGAGGTGGAGGAGCTGTTGAGAACATCAGAGATGAAGAGAGGAGTCTCAGAAATGTTTCCTCCTTTAAGATGTTTTCCATTATTTAAATGGAAATACAAAACACACACACACACACACACACACACACACACACACACACACACACACACACACACACACACACACACACACACACACACACACACA